ACTCTAAAATATAATCGGAACCTTTCTTAGTGACGCATGATTGTAGCCCGCACATTTTTGATTAAAATGAGACATCTCTCAGCTTTTTACGACCTTTCTTTGCACAGTTATAGAATTTACAAGAAAAGCCCTAAATGTTCATTGTCAGCTCAAAGCTACAGAAATAAGAAGAAATTAATTTAGGGCTTTTCTTGTAAATTCTATAACTGTGCAAAGAAAGGTCGTAAAAAGCTGAGAGATGTCTCATTTTAATCAGAAATGTGCGGGCTACAATCATGCCTCATTAAGAACGGTTCCGATTATATTTTAGAGTTTTTGAAAAACTGGTTTTCTAGAAAACCAGGTCTTCGAAGGGCTATGAGGAAGCCCCATGGGCGTATTCGTAATCAGCATGGTCGATAACCTATAACCCACTAGATTCCGAGCAAAAAGCGTTTAATCACTTCGGGGGGTTCCCTCGTAAGAAGCAGAATAAAAACTACCCATATTCTAGATAACTTAGAGTTCATAAGGTAGCATCTTTCCCGATTGGAAAAGATTCTCCCGATCAGGACATATTCTCGATTGGAAAAGTGCAAACGGACTGTCTATACGCAATAACTCAAAGCTAATACCATATTCGTAAAGCCCTTCTATCTAATTTGAAAACTGAAACTATTTCTGAAATAAAAAGAGAGAAACAGAGCGAGTTTTCGTTGAAAATATGCGAAAAAGTCAGGGATATGGTAGAATTCGAAGTAAAACATTTGCCTGTCATTTAGATAGCGAGCAATACTTTTGGAAGATTTTTGCACAAAAACGGTGTAAAATAATTTGACACCCATATCTCTGTAATCTCAATGAGAGTTTGAACACGCCATTCGTTTGTTAGAGCTTTCTAATAAGCTTCTTTTCTCGGGCGATTCATCCATTCAGAAATCAAAATGTAAACATATCTCGAATGAGACAATGAAACAGCAAAAGGTACAGTGTCATAATCACCATTTGACTTATACAGTGCACATATTAATAACGAGCTATAAGATGGATTCTATGTGCCTTTTTTTACAGGCCTCTCTAGTTTTAGCGACTACTGGAGTTATTCGAACTAAACAAAAATTTGTTTCAAGCCATATGTAGATGAGCAAAAATTTTCAGTACAACCACGATTCTATTTCATAGAACATCTAGTCAGTTAAATATACGACACATCATTTATTCTTTTTGTTTAAGAACTTAAGTAGAAGCGGATGTAGCATGCACCAGTTACAGTTAACTGTAAAAACTGTAACTGCTCATAACTGTAGACAAATATTCTACAGTGAGTTAGTCTTCTACGATTTGCATAGACTAACTCACTCTAGAATACTTGCCTACAGTTATGAGCAGTTACAGTTTTCACGGTAAAACGGAATATCGACAGCTGGAATTTCGCCATCAGAATTTCGGCACTGTCGTTTTTGCTCAATATTTTTGGCAAATTGTCCAGAGTCAATCTGATTTTCTACATTGTCGAATTTCAGGTTGTTTTTCGACTATTGTCTTAAGTCCTTGTAATTTCGACAATTATCGAAAATCCATTTTTGCGGTGGTATATTTTTAAATTTTAAGAGATTGGAAAAGAAGAAGTTCATATGATAATAGAAGTGGAATTTCTACGATATCAAACATTTTACCGAGCAACATGAATATGCTACACAGAATCAGTGAACTATAGTCTTCTTCTAATAATTCACAAATGAACATAAGATGACAAAATAAGATTTTTCTTTTCTCTTTTTCAAATACAGATCCCACAGAACAACCAAAAAAATAGAGTTTCTGTATCTCACGGCAACTGAAATGTGACAAATAAGTTTATTGTAAATACGACAATGCGAAGAAAATGACATCGATTTTCAACAATTGTCGAAATTGTTAGCGTCTTTGCTCTGTATATTCGACAATACTGCAAAAATTCGTCGGAATTTGGACTGACGAAATTCTAGAATAGCGTTTTCACAATTACAGTTATGACCGTTAAGTTTTCACAGTTACAGTTATCAGCAGTTTTACAAGTACAGTTAACTGGTAAAAAACTGTAACCGGTGCATACCTAGATGTAGGTATTCTGTCTGATTTATGATCACTGAATTCCACCTGATTAATCGTGTTAGATAGATGCTCCAATAAATGTTAAGTTTAAATATCGTACTACTATCTTTACACTTATTTTTATAAAATTTTTGCCCACATATAAATTTATATTTCAACTATATGTAGAATACAGTAATTATAATGTCAATCATCTTTATTCATCTTCATGTAAATAATGAGTATCGATGATAACATTGTTTTCTTTTTTTTAATCGAATAAAAATAATCGATTACGTCCTTGAGAGATTAATAGTGCATAAACATGGATTAATAACGAGATGGAAGAGAACCATAACGTCGTCACTCTCTGTTGTATCATTACGATTAGAAAACGAGAAAAAAACACTATTAATAATATAAACGCTTCTATCTAATTAAGTTCCTTATTAAGAAAGATCCATATTTTCATCTCATCATTGCAAGAAAAACAAAATATTTTCATTAGTGAATAGATATTCGTTCATACTACTGTAACAAATTCAAAATACGTTATTTTGACATATGTCATTTATCTATAATATCTACATACCTCAATAAAAAAAAATAATAATCACCTGTCAATATTATTCTTTAATTACATATTGTATATTTTATAACCATGAAAGTGTTCGGTATTATTATTTATGTATAGGCATAATTATTTGTACCTAAACGAACTGAAACCTCTGACTAAGCAAAAAATATCCAATATCAATCGATATTTTACACATGAAATAAAATATACAACAAATATTGTATGCAGCAATATACTACCTAATTCAGATAACATCTGTACGATCTTTTCTTTTGATACTCTATATCCTATTAAATGACGAGAGAGATTTACATTTCATAGACAAAAAAAAAAAATTTATGTTGTCAATACTTTGTCTTATTCCATCTGGTTTATTTTTCGGAGATAAAAAACAAAACATTTTTTTGCATTTAACAAACAAACAAATAAAATTGTGACTAGGATATAAGACAAATAATATCTGATTAGATAATCATAATTGCAATTCGATCAGCATATCTTAGAATCATGTGTGTTGTAGAAAACAGACAAGCATTGTACGCTTGCATATTATTTATACGATATTTTTGACCATATTCATCAAGAATAACAACGGCATGTTCATTATTAACACAGCATAACCATTGATTTTGATTGAGCAATGTCATATAATGTGTAAAATCTTTTGAATTTTTATAACTACCCATTGTTATTGATTGTAAAACTTTACCTAATTCATAATTGAATATATCAACACGAAATAAATCATTTTTTTGCTTAATTATCATTGCAGTTCGTATTCCATTTGTACGTATACAACGAATACCAAGATCATCTTTTAAACATAAATCATTTTTTGACCATTTTTGATCATTTTTCCATGATGGTAATGAATAATATTTTAAATGTTGTTCCGGATCATGTGAACATATAAATACATCATTTTCATAACAACATATAGATATTAATGAATTAAAATTTGTACCTTTAACATTTGGAATATCTTTACAATCGAATATAGACGGATCAAATATATTTAGAGATAAACGTCCAAGAACTAAAAATAAATAAATATAAAAATAATCTTTTTTCTTGTACTATCTACTTATTTTTTACCAAGAAAAACGTTCATAAACGGACACCAACACATATCACTGACATAGCCTTGTTTTGATGTTGACCATGTTATTGTTCCACATAAATTATTAAGATCAAATATAATTAATTCATTTTTATCATAGAGTAGAATATGTTCATTTGATGATGCCATTGCACGACAAGTTGATGAAAATATATGCTGTTTTATCGGTTGTTGTTGAAGTTGTCTAAGAATCACTGGTAAATCTTGTCGATCAAAAATATCTGTTGTTTTTGTTATTTTTAAATCATCAATTGAACCTATTATATATGAAATGTTTAATAAATTTTTTGAATTTAATATTTGAATATCTTGTTGAAGTTTTGTTACTTGTTCATACATAAGTAATAATTCATCCGGTTTTGTAGACTGTTTTAAATTTGGTAATATTTTTTTTTCTAACTCAATTAAATGACGATGTTTATAATAGTTAAAATCATTTTGTAATTTTTCAAATTCTAGATTAATTTCATTTGACTTTTGCACATGAGTCTCGTTAATACGAGCGATTGATTGTGTTCGCCAATGTTCTAATACGTGATGAGCATTTCTACGATGTCTATCATCAAGTTCAACATTTTCCAACATTTGAATTGTTTCATTAACAAGTGTCGGTAATCGACTGTTACCATCACCTTCAACCGGTTTCATCATGATCCGTCTGATCTAAAAAACAAAAATAAGGAGATAAAAATAAAAATAATCGTATAAAGTTCGAACTATTTATTCACATTGAAGTTTATAACAAATAAAACAAATTTTCTTCATTAACCATAGATTATTTCCAACTTCAATAGCAAATATCTGATCATTATACAAAAAATTTTTGCCGTTACTGTAAATACAAAAATATATATAAATTTTTTCGTACATGCCAAATGTTTTCTTCTTGTGATCATAACTCGGTGACGAAAATTGCTTCTGACAAGCGGTTTATATCGAAACATTGTCCGCTCTTTCTAATATTATAGTTGGAGATGAAAAGAGTTAAAAATATTCATTGCTGCTCTTTGTGGCCCATTAGACTGAAAAGTGAACGTTTTCAAATCGGTAAAAGTTTTCCAATCAGTTGATGAAAAATCTTTTTTTACGTTGTATAAGTATCGAGAAAATATGAAAACTATATCAACCGATAGAAGAGAGGGCGAGCTACATTTCGGTAAAAACTTATTTTGGAAAGTTTTTTTCGTTAGGGTGAAAACGCGACTTTAAACCAAAATTGCCATACTCTTCAGTTTAACTGCTCAATCTCAGGAATGAGTGGATGAAAAAAGACTCCGATTAAGCTATTCGAAACAAGGGCAATTATGTCAATTTTTCGATTAAAAGATGGATCAAATTCCTCCATTTCACGTCCAGACTATATTTACTTAGTTTCTGACATTATGTCGAATGGCGTAATCGGAGTCTTTTTTCATCCACTCATTCCTGAGATTGAGCAGTTAAACTGAAGAATATGGCAATTTTGGCTTAAAGTCGCGTTTTCACCCTAACGAAAAAAACTTTTCAAAATAAGTTTTTACCGAAATGTAGCTCGCGCTCTCTTCTCTGCCGCCACTATGTAGTTTTTTAAATAATGAGAAAAACAACGTACAGTTGAATATAATCGATACAATCAGTATAAACTATCAGATACACTAATCTTGTACTGAGCACTTCATTTGAAGAGAGTATTGATTTGAGAGGATGTTAATTGAAGGGGAAAAGAAGGAACATCTAAAGTATTTTAAGGGTACCCCCGCTCTTTTTTGCAGAAAAATTGTCATTTTGAGCTGAACATAGTCTAATGTAGAGGAAAGTGTGAGCTATACAATGAGACCACTCCCAGCTCTCCATGACCTTCCTTGAAAAAATTATGAAGTTTTTAAGTTTTACGTTCAAAGCCTAGAAAATCTCAACTTTTTTGGTTCATAAATTTTTCTCTCCTTTCCTATATATTCAAAATTTTTTCTTATATATGGTGTGGTAGAAGAAAGTGTGCTCTTCAAAATGAGATGTATTCCAGAATTTTCCGATGAGTTTTCTTAGAGATATAAACATATCTTAGAGATATAGCCGCAAATGCCCTAAAACCAGAGCGCTGTGTACAGTATGTGTTTTTCTCACTATACATTTTTTCAATAGTCCCTTCAATTGGCACACATTATGATCCCTCGAAAAAATGGTTCGATCGAGCTCAAAATTTTACCACAGATACTTCAACTTTTGGCGTGAGAAGGTTTTCAAAATGAAATACCGTTTTTTTATATGGGATTTTCAGTATTTTTCGTATATCTCGAGAAGGAAAGCATTTTTTTCGAAAAGAATAAAAACAAATCGGAGATAGGGCCTGAAGTATCTGTGATACAATTCTGAGCTCGATCGGACCATTTTTTCGAGGGGTCATAATGTGTGTCAATGAAACCTGGAGTTTTCCAGAAAACTCATAGAAGAACACGTCAGAAAATTCTGGGCAAAAATACATCGATTTTCTTTTTCGATGTTCTATCTCGGGTATAAATTAGAACTGATATCGGCTTCCCTAGTTTCCCTCAGGGTAAAAAAAGAGGAGGAGTACCCTTAAAATCGATCGAAAAAGTCAAAATCAAATCATTTATACCTACATATGAAGTAAAAGAAGGAAATAGGGAACTACTACTTTATACTTTTCCTCAGTTCCAGTTATGACAGTTATCAATAGTATCTACATAATAGAACACTGTACAAAGAAAAGTTGAATATAGTTGTTAGGATGAGAAAGTATCGGTAATATTTTGATGATGATGTAGCGTACCTAATCTATTTTCCGAAGCATTTTACTATATACGATTTCACAACAGTACGTTTGTATTCAATTCAATTAATGGAAATTATGAGACCTGAAGTAGTAGCAATGATAGTGAAGCACTGGTGGGTTTAAAATTACCTGAGTTATAACTACACTATAAAAAAAAGCGCATGCTAGAAAATCCCAAACGCTTCGAGAGCCTTGTCGAAAACTCTTTTCCGTATCCGAGAATATACGTAGGATATTAGAACTTTCACAAACCCATTGAGTAAAACAAAAGCTTTCGCATGTCCAAAACGGAATCTTCGAATACCGAACAGGGTACTTTCTAAAACTCTTTTATTCCTAAACTTTTTCTGAAACCTAAAGTATATCAGGAAATTCGATTGTCGATTGTAGAAAATACCTTTTCGGGTATTTGAATTATTTCCTATAAACCCTTCGGTTTTCGAAAGGTCGAACACTCCTTAGAGTTTTAGAAAAGACTTTTTCGATTGTATTAAACTTATTTCGGGAATCCTGTTCCGTTTTGGAAACTAATGTTGTCTTATTTTTTTATTCGAATGCAGAATGGGAGTAAGAAGAATATTCAGAAATCGTGTTTTCTTTTGCAACATGCTCCTCACTCTTCTCTTTATAACTGCTCTAACAATCTAATTTTAATTCCGCGCTACATATCATTTTATTTTAATCCGCCTCCTCTTCGAGAATATAATACAATTTGTTAAAATCCAGCAACTGACATCTGTGCCCTCAAATATCCTTGGGTCCGCCTGTATCATGAAAAATGGTAGTAAGAGCTCGTGCTATTATTCTACAAAATATTTCAATTTTTTAAACATGATGCTCTATTGAAAAGTTCAAACTGCTTATTCTATAAGAGTATGACTCTGAAAATGCATTGGATCTCTTCATCTTCTTTTCTAGTACTCGATAAAACGTATTACTTTTAGACATGCACGGAATTTTTAATCAGTTAATTGGAATCGATCATAACCGATATAGCCGAAAAAAGCATTTTTATTTGCACATATTCTTGAAAATACGTTTGAAGCAGTATGAAGGAAACATCTAAAATGTTCATCCTAGAGGAAAAATGTTCAGAATTGTACGCTGCACATTCTCAGATTAGATGTTTCCTGTATACTGCTTCAAACGTATTTTCAAGAATGTGTACAAATAAAAATACTTTTTTCGATTATGATCGGTTCCAGTTAACCGATTAAAAGATCGGTGCATGCCTACAAGTAATCATACGTCGTAGGAACAAAAGGTTATCTAGAATTTCTTTTCGGAAATCAATGTTGAACAGATTTCCGAGTAAGAGTTTAATAACAGAATAAGAAAGGTTTTTGAAAGGACATTAGAACTCACGAAAACGTTTTTTAAGGCTTTTCGAAAATGTTATTATGCGAAACCCTTTTGGGTATATGAGAGTTCGAATACTCTTTTAAAAACGCTTTTGAAGGGTATTCAAGGATAAAACTGAACTGAATAAAAAAGGATATGCGAACAGGAAAAGCATTTGCGATATTTCGAAAATCTTCTCTAAAGGTAGCATCAAAAACCCAAAAGGGTTTCATATAGTAACATTTTCGAAAACCAGCTTTAAGTTTTCGAGAATATCCCTTTTTCTTATAGTGTAGCTGAAGTTAAAATTAATTATACCTAATTTAACTTTTAGTCAAAACTTTAAAATAGTTATAGCTCCGCTTGATAGTATGAATTGGTATAACTGCGGTTGACAGAGTGACAACTCCTACTTGATAGAGTTATAATCATTTCGCTCTAGTTGTAACTGTGTCACAATACAAATTGAAATGAACTTTTGTAATTTATTTTGAGTTGGTAGTCATTACTAAAGTGAATGCGGTTATAACTGGAGTTGGAATAGTTATCATTCTATCCATTTGGAGTTGTAACTCTTTCAATCTCAGTTATATCGATCGCTGATAGTTATAACAGTGGTTCATACTTATAACCAGCGTTTTAACTATATCAACTTTTTTAGAAATTTTCTCAACTTTTAACCTTCAGAAAACAGCTTTAAACCCATCAGTGTGACGAAGCTACTTTCTCCTGTGTAACTTCATGGGGTATCAAATACATTATGCATCACTTTATCTACACAATCTAAGACCTATCTATAGCGTATCAAATTCTGATCAAGGAAATGCTTCTTAAAATGCTTGAAAACATTCGCACGGTATCGGAGATAAAGCAAACATAATCTATTTTTGACGAAAATGGTACTATCTGAAATGAGTAAAAGTCAACAAACTTCAAAGGTCATTTCTGCGAGAAAGCTGATTCTTACCAACATCGATTCATCACGATAAAAACGTTCTCGTATCACATATTTTTCTTGATAACCATACATAGACAAAAGTTAATATTATTACGAAATACTGTACTAATAAGTACTATGAAAACGACAGACGTAAGAGAATTCAAAACTCTGATGTGGGAGCTGCACGTAACAAATATTTTCAGAAAAAAGAATTTTTGCTTTCAGACGCTTTTTTTATTGAGATCACCATATACCGTTATATGTAATTTTCTGTGCTGATCACGAATCAAACGTTCATCTCTAAATCTCACTGCTGAACAATCTTCTGTGTCTCTTTGAAAAAGAGAGGCTTTCAGCAAGGATTTCTCACCAAATAGAAGCTTAGTATCTCCAAAGGCTTTACTAATATATGAAATACCATTCAGAAATATCCATGAGACTAAGTGATACGAGAACGTTTTTATCGTGATGAATCGATGTTGGTAAGAATCAGATTTCTCGCAGAAATGACCTTTGAAGTTTGTTGACTTTTACTCATTTCAGATAGTACCATTTTCGTCAAAAATAGATTATGTTTGCTTTATCTCCGATACCGTGCGAATGTTTTCAAGCATTTTAAGAAGCATTTCCTTGATCAGAATTTGATACGCTATAGATAGGTCTTAGATTGTGTAGATAAAGTGATGCATAATGTATTTGATACCCCATGAAGTTACACAGGAGAAAGTAGCTTCGTCACACTGATGGGTTTAAAGCTGTTTTCTGAAGGTTAAAAGTTGAGAAAATTTCTAAAAAAGTTGATATAGTTAAAACGCTGGTTATAAGTATGAACCACTGTTATAACTATCAGCGATCGATATAACTGAGATTGAAAGAGTTACAACTCCAAATGGATAGAATCAGGGCCGGTTGAAGGCGTGCCCAACACACAGGCGCGAAGACTGGAAAGGAGCCTCGTTATTCATATAAAAAACCATACACAGATGTTATTATACAAAATCTAAATGATAATTAATAGGTTTAGTGAAAAACAAAAATTCTATTAAAATTTTTTCATACAAAAAGGCGTAAAAACATTTTTGACACACGCTTGAAAATTGGCTTGAACCGGCCCTGGATAGAATGATAACTATTCCAACTCCAGTTATAACCGCATTCGCTTTAGTAATGACTACCAACTCAAAATAAAATTGATGTGTAACGTATTTGATACCCCATGGAGTTATACAGAAGAAAGTAACTTCACCATCACTGCCACTACTTCAGGATCTCATAATTTTCACCAATTGGATAGGATACAAACCAAGTGCCCAGCATAAATTAAAGTACCTGACAGTTTTTCTAATATGCTTTACCCTAGCGAATGTAGTACGTCCAAGGTGCACGAGCAGGTATCCTGTTGTCGGTATTCGTTCATGTACCAAAGAAATTTTGGAAGATTTGGGTATCTTAAGGTACTTTTCAAGCAGTTGTCAAAGTATCTCGGTGAAGTACTTTCTGGTTTTAGAAAAAGGTACTTACTTTGGGTGCCTTGCTGACATATTTTTACATATTCAAGTCGATTTTAATCAATTATTTTTGCATAGGATGTCTGTCAGTGGTCACTGGGATACCTTTATGTAGTAGACAACGCGTTCATATGTATGTCAAAAGGTCATCTGCATATTAGCGAAAAAATAACTTTATTACTTTGCAGAATATAAATGGTGCTCATAGTAAATGAACGCGGAAACCATAACGATGACTGAAACGTGCACAGGTACCTTGATGAAAGTTTTTCAGTAAGTATACTACTGTTTTTAATGATTGCGGGACAAGCAAGAGCAAAATGAGTTTCCATTTTGAAAAATGCATTTTCCACCTACTACTCGCTCTGAGGGAAAAAATCCCACTTTGCTTCTGCGAATTCCCATTTTGTTTTTGTTTAACTCAGCTCTTAGGAAATGTGCAATAACAGTTAAAGCATGTAAATAGCAGTAATTTTCTTTGGCATATGTAGATCTATATGTGTACGCTTGTTTATTCTAGTATTTCTCGTTTTTTTTCTGTTTTTGCTCAGCAGAAATATTTTCTCTTTCATTAAAAAAATTCAACGTTTCAATCTTCCATTCTCTATTTTTATTTTAAAGGGGTAAACGGCAGAGGTACAGAAACTGCCTGTTTGCTCCAGCGATTGTTGGGGGAAACTTATTGATTCAGGGAAATTTTTTGAAAAATTGGGACATCATTTTGCAAATATATTGCAAAAAGAAATTCTGTTCGTGGATTATGTGGAGAAAGTGCTTGAAAAAGCTTCTTCTGTCAAGGAAAGTTTTCTAATCTCACGGACAGATTCTGCATCTCTGGTAAACGGAGCTGACTGCATTATGGAAGCGAAAGTGCGAGAACTGTGGCTGTGAGACAGTAAAAATGGCTTCTTATAAAGATTTTATTCCGACTTTACCCACTTTGTGTTTCAGAACAAACTAGGAACTCATTTCGATATTCAAGGCAACGTGGGAAGCTCCATTTTGAAAAAAAATTCTCGTTAGAAATACTGGTTGGTACTTTTACTGATACAGGTACTCATGCAAGTACCCTGGATTGAGTGCGTTCACTAGGGCATGGAGTTCATAACCGATCTCTGGTATGCGTGTTTAAGACTGTTGCTGAACGTTTTCGAAAGTCGATCAGCGAGCATGAAACCGATAATTCTTCAGCCTCTAAGAAGCATGCATATTCTAGTTCTCCTGCATATTACACTAGCGTCTCATAAAAAGACTTAGAAGTCGACTGAAGATGATAACCACATAATAGAACGCATATGTAATATGATGTGATGTGATGATATACATTTTCAGCTAGAATCGACCTAATTTCATTCGTGTTGGCGCAAAAAAAATTAATCAATAAAAAAAGGAAGAACACCTTCACGAAAATAGGCACTAATCTTCCACTAATCCCTGTGAATAATCGCATTAGGACGCACTTTTGCACAATATTACAATATACTATAGTTTTATTGGCAGTAAAAAAACGATGCCATACATGAGTGACATCTCTCTTCAGTTTTTCTCTCTTTCTCTCCTAGAGAGAAATGTCATATATTCATTTTTCTTTAGTTTATTTCTTCTTTCTTCTTCTTTTTCTGCATTGCAAAAGAAATGGTACTATTTCTCTCCTGCGCGCGAACAAGAGACTAGCTCTCGTATAAAGGCAAACGTGATTCACTCGGAACATCATAACATTTGCATCCACTGTGGAAAGTAAATTTTCTTAATCGTACAATCATGGCTCGTGGATTTCGGAATATGAATTGGGAGCAGGTATTTTTTTTAATAGAACCTATAATAACAAATATTTGATCTATATTCTCGTGTTTTATCTAGGTACATTTGGTAGTGTGTCCAAAATGTTCAATTGTGAGTCACAGCAAGCTATTGCTGTCAAATTCATTAAACCAAATAAAAAATTTGAAACAGAGGGTGAAATACCGTCTACAGCTGTTCGCGAAGTTCATATTCTGCAAGAATTAAAACATCGAAATATCATAGGGTGTGTAAGTCTCTTTATTTTACTTTATGACAGCTTAATGTTATACGTCTTCGTCTTAGACTACTCAATGTTGATTTTAAAAATGATAACATGTGTCTTTATTTGGAATATATGCCAACTGATCTAAAACGTTATTTGGATGCATTAGAAAACGGTTTCATGACATTGGAATTGATAAGAGTTTGTATATATATAAAGCACACAGGTAAAAACGAAAATATGGATCTCAAAAAGTTATTATTCTACTTAGAGCTACACATTTCAATTATTATCAGCAACGGAATATATGCATAGTTGTCGAATTGTAAGTAATGTGGCGCCGGATGGAAGAGGAAGAGATGAAATATTCATCTCCTTTTTGCTTTAGCTTCATCGTGATATGAAACCACACAATATTTTAATTGATTATGAAGGTGCTTTGAAATTAGCTGATTTCGGTTTGGCACGCTACTATCATACAAGAGAAAGAATTTTAACGCATGAAGTTGTTACGCTCTGGTATCGAGCTCCTGAAGTTCTGTTAAATGCCCCAACTTACGGTATGATGTACTAATGATAAAATCGTTGATTTAATTATAGCAAAATATTTATGCTGTAGGTATGGCTATTGATGTTTGGTCATTCGGTTGTATATTCGCTGAAATGTGCATTAAACAAGCATTATTTCGTGGCGAAAGTGAAATTGAACAACTCTACAAAATATTTCAGTAAGATACAATACAGTCTTCTAAATATTTAATAATATTTTTTTTCTTCAGATTATTAGGTACACCAACTGCTGAACAATGGCCAGAATTGCCGGAATGTTTATATTATCAAACACTTTTTCCAAATTGGACGGATGATATATTAGGAGATGAAATGTTGAAGTTACATATGACCACTGAACAAATTCATTTTTTAAAAGTAAATGATGAATGAAGTGAAACTAGCACGCACATATAGTTTAATATTTCGATTTGAATTAGATTAGTCATTGCACAATTTTCGCATGATAATCGAAATATCAGACCGTCCATTATATCTGACATGAAATAAAATATTTGCTCTATTTTTTCCAGGCAATATTAATTTATTGTCCAAAACGTCGTCCAATGGCTCATCAGTTACTCACACATCCCTATTTTATTTATCCTCCGTGTACTGAAAAACAAATAAAACCGATTGCTACTGTTATTGATCGAGCAATCAAAGAACAAAAACGAAAAATGTCAAATGGTTGAAATGTATTACTTTTTATTTCATCAATTTTTATCTTTTCTCTTCTACTTTTGTGCTTGAACAAAGTCTACATATTTTGTACGTTTTATAATAATTTAAATTTCTAGCAATGAAATCTCATTATCAATTTAGTCTGTAGTCTGTTTTTTTATTTGTTTGACCATGTCACATTCTTTTTAATGCGCTGTTGTTGTTATAAACACTTCTCCGTTATCTTTATATATCAATTTTCAGTAAATAGAGAGTGACTATGATAAACGAATTTTGTCAAAATTTGCAAAGTAGCTGACAACAGTAAATGGTTCATTTAACAAGTGATTATAGTCTGATTTCAGTTATTATACTTTTCAGAATACGGAATCATCACAAACTTTTTGAATAAATTTTGAACAAAGATAGATACAAACTTACGGTTTTCAGTATTCGAAATAGGAGACTTGGGGACATACTTTCATAAGCGAAGCAATCTTCAAAATCCTTGGGGAGACAGCCCAGAATGTCATCTTTAAAATGGGAACCTTCCAACTTCATTTTTTATCGTTTAGGCTTGCCATCACATTTTCTCTAGTGGCCCCAGGACCAGTTTCAAATGACTTTTGGAAACATAAAAAAAAATGGGTGAAACATAGATTATCTATCATGTTGAATGTTGTAGCAAAGTTTGTTTCTAGAAAAAAATTTCAAAACCCAGTGAGAATATGTACTAGACTGTACAACACATTTCTGGCTATTTTCACTAAAAATAAAACGTTCATAACTCCCGAGGGAACCTTCTGAGATGCTAAAAACCTACATTTTAAAAATAGTCCTATTCAAAAAGGTTTTAAGCACCTCAGGAGGTTCCCTCGTCAGTTAAAAGCGATCCAAACTGCTTCATCAATAACCATACACTATTTTATCTGTTCAATTTGATTCTATTCCTTAAGAGTAGTAAAAAACACTGACTTACTTCTAAAGACCTCTAGAAAACCTTTTCAAAACCTAAGCATATTTTATTCGCTTTTTAAATTTTTTTACTGAACTCAGGTTACTGTGCTATGATCTGGTTTTCCAAAGGTCTCTTGGAAAATCTCATTGGAATACGAAATTTGAAGATTGCTTTGCTTATGGAAAGATTGATTTTTTAAGAAGAATTTAGATATAGATAATAAGAGATAAACTACCTTAATTTTCTGTTAGACGTTTCGTCTTTATTCGAAAGACATCATCAGTCAAATGTGACAGACGATAGTTGATTCAAAATAACAGATAAAAAGAAATACAAGTGTAAAGAACGAAATAAAATAGATAAAATAAAACTTTTCATTTTTCCACAATATATGACGACTAAATCATGCACTTTTTGCACTGTATAAATGTCAAGGTGGAAATAGCAGACCCTAGTCTAGAAGTTCGTAAAAGTGTTGCTATTATATAAAAACCTATTACTATGTTTCGACAATTAATACAACATCTCTAATAGCATTGTCCATAGTTCCTTTATTATGACTCGTTTGTTTCCAATCTTGGCAAATCTTTTAAATTTATCTTTCTCAATATATATTTTTGATCATCTATACTATAATATAAAGTGTTTGTTTGTCTGTTTGATTGTTATGCTATACAAATCGACATGCTTAATTCCAAAGCAACCAAATTCTGCATGAGGTCTGCATTCGTCAAGAGGAATACCGTAGGCTATGTGCGACCGCAAAATCTCCACCAACAGGGGTACACCGGGCAACGTTGCGTAAATTTTCTAATAATTAATAAACAAACAATAAAATATAGCATAGTTTCACGAATATATTCTTATAGGGTTCTCGGCACTCGTATCGACCTGTTAGTACTCCTCGGGACTCCAACAGACTTGTGAAGTCCAAGAGTCTGCTGTTTCCCCCTTGATAAATGTTCATCAACACGCTCTCTTTAATAGTATTTTTCATAAGATGTGATTCGACTGCAAGAATTTCCAGGTTCCAGTTATTGCGATTGTTGAACATTTTAAAAAAGACGATACGATGGATAAAAATGAAGAACATACAAACGCCCATTCTACCTATTAATAATAGACGCTACTACATTTCATTTCCGTACTATAATACATCTTCATTGGTTTTGGCAAATAAACTGAAAAATTTTTAATCGCAATAACTAGAATCCGGAAATCCTTGCAATCGAATCACACCTTATAAAAAGAACTATTAAAGAGAGCGTGTTGATATTTATACAGAGCAAAACATAAGACAGGTCTATTCTCAAAAAAGCTTTGAACTTAACGTATTTTGACTATGTATGATTCAGTCATCATATATTATGGAAAAATGAAAAGTTTTATTTTATCTATTTTATTTCGTTCTTTACACTTGTATTTCTTTTTATCTGTTATTTTGAATCAACTATCGTCTGTCACATTTGACTGATGATATCTTTCGAACAAAGACGAAACGTCTAACAGAAAATAGTCTATTTTCATGCTTATTAAGGTAGTTTGTCTCTTATTATCTATATTTATGGAAAGACGTTCACAAATCTCCTATAGCGCATGCCGAAAACCGTCATCTTCGTTCAAAATTTATTCAAAAACATTTATGATAGTTCCGTGTTCCATAAGGTCGTGTGAGAAAAGTTGTGCCGTTTCAAAAAATTGCTAGCTTTAATACTTCGCCGCTTAATCTCACAGTGGGTCCAAAAATTGTTTGCCGCCTATATTTTTCATTTTTCTCATCGACCATAATAGCTAGAATAAATTTGAAAAAAGATTTGAACAGCTGAAAGAATTTCCGATCTCACGTGGTGTATATGAAGGTTCTAACAAAACTTCTGAAACGAGGGTTTCTGGAAAACCAAAATCTCAGAAAGCCAAGCCCTGAAGCTTGTTTCCCGTTAGTTTTGCTGCTATGGGACCTTCCATAAATTGAATGCTTCTCCATTAGAAAATGTCGTAAAGAGCTCGGAGATATCTCAGTTTCTTTAGAAATGTTTCCTCTACAGAATCCACTTATTTGCAAAGAATTTCTAGACTGAACTCCGGGGCTTGGTTTTCCAGAAACCCTGGTTTCAGGAGTTTTGATAGAACCTTTGTATACACCACGTGAGATCGGAAGTTCTTTCAGCTGTTCAAATCTTTTCCAAATTTATTCGAGCTATCATGGTCGACGAAAAAAATGAAAAATATAGTGGCAAACAATTTTTAGATCGACTGTGAGATTAAGCGACGAAGTATTTAATACACAAAAACCGCTGCCAAGCTTGGTTAACTTTCCTATTAACACATGTTGTAGAGCTTTTCAAGGCGCATCGAATGATGCAAAAAAAAATAAGCAGTAATCTACGAAACACGATACTCAACAACAAATAGGAGTAAGGTAGGGAAAATAAATCATGTTCTCTGTCGCATCGAGACCACAACGAGGGCAGCTAAGATATACATATTCGTGATCAGCATAAAATTCTCCACAAAATAGGCTACAGTCGTGTCTCTTGCCTAGAGCGGGGAGGGGGGGTCATTCAAATATGTTCCCTCGTTAGACAAGTATATCTATTAGTGAGAAATATTCGAATAACTCTAGAATGCAGTTGAACGTTATGATAGTGTTACGCAAAAGAGCTAGTAAAAATCAATTTATCTTTATCTTGTTAATATTGATTTTATTTACCCGTAGCAATGAATATGTAACAACAAATTAACGAGAAGACGTAGCTAAAACTGTTACGTGGTCGACTTTGTCTTTCATCATGCACGTCGATATAAGTACTAGAATTTTTTAATTAAACGCAAAACAACCAAACTGTATCTAGAAAGCAAAAGTACTTGGATACTTAAAAACTTACAAAAAACATTATAGATTAACCGATTGAGAACTGTGTTTAACGTAAGTGCAATAGTGGTTACTGCTCTCATAAAGTCCTTTTGAACTCTGTTAATATTCAGAATATGATAGTGAAAAATCCCAATTGATCAGAATATAAACATTTCGAAGGTATCGAACTTATTCTTCAAAGACTTCTCTGCCAGACATCTATTTTTGTCTCAGAACATCTAATCTTGATAAACTTTTTACGGAAGGTGCCTTATCCTATAAGGATGACACTATGGTTTGGACCCGAAATGTTGAGATTTTCCAGAGTTATCCTAAAAATGAGGATGAAAAAAGTAGATATTCGTGCAGTAAAGATTTCTTTATCATTCTGAGTGCTACAAAATTCATGGTGGTCTTCAAATATAGGCAAGATTTGGCGCTACTAGTTAGCAGAGCTGGATTTATTAAAATCTGCCTTGTTTTTCCAAAGCCTCTAAGAACTTCATTTTTCTCAAAAACTGAATTGAGAAATAAAAATTCGGCTCTGTTTAGTTATAGCGCCAAATCTTGGCTACATTTGAAGACCACCGTGAGCTTTGCAGCACTCAGAATGGTGGAGAAATCTATGCTGCACGAACAGCTAAAGCTCAAACTAATGAGTATGAGAAAAATGTCGTGCATTTGTTAATGCACTTTAGACCTTGAAGGAAAATGCTGGTAACTTTTTAACAAATGGTCACACAGAGTTGGACTATGTTTCATGCTGGCCAGAAAAGGTTACTTTACGCGTTTATATATTACTTATAGTATGCTTACTTATAGCTTACTTTCATCGTGGATAAAAGTAGAATTCTTATTCAAATATTTTATTCTTCAAGGTTTCCACAAAACCTTCACTAAAACTATGCAAATTTATCTTCGGGGCAGAAAGCGATGTAGATTCTGGAAATGAACACCCCAGGCTACTCAATCAAGCATAAGTCGATATTTTTGAAGAAAATTGAGTGTTTTGACAGGAGTGGGCTTATATGGTACAGACTGTAACGAAATACTCTCCGTGAACAAAACAACCAAGAATAGATCGTTAAAAAGCATATTTTTTAACTGATAATTGCAAAAAATGAACACGATGGCTACTGTTAACTCTTTTTTGAACAAAAGTGTATATGTGACAAAAAGCACTGAATGCTTTTAGTGAACCTGTTTTGTTCAAAGATAGATAATTAGTTCATCTTTGGACAAACATTTACACAAACTGATCTATGAGAGTATACATGACACATTTTTCATTGTAAAATAAAAATTAATTTAGAATACACATAATTAATCCCAAACGAAAGAAGTAAATCTGTCAAAAATTGACACACATACTTTCTAACAAAGCTCAAAGAACAACAGAAAAATATTCATTTGCAACTGTATGTGAATAATCTGTTAGGTGACATTTATCATTCACAAGCGAAAAAAAACTTCAGTTGTACATTTAAATTGAAAAAGAGACAATGTTCTAATCCATCATAGTCATTATTACATGAATCTATATGACATAATAAATCTATCAACGTTATTTTAAATTCATTTTTCTATTTTTACACACACTCTTTTAATAGTAAAATGCCGTTTTTTCTTAGTCAATATTTTATTTGTATCACTGTTCATTCCACTACCAACCAACAAACATGTTATCAAGTCTGCCATTATTATTGATCATTTTATTCTTATTCAACATTGACTTTTTATCAGCAACATGTAAAGCAAATGTCTGGCATTATTATCCGTGTAGTTATACAATATCAAGTTCAAATTCATGTATGAATTCAATGTTTACTACTGTACTTGAATCCAACGATTGTCTTGAACAAGATTATTTTTGGAGTTATCCTATAGGAAACATAACCATGACAATAAAATTAAATAAATCATTTATAGTTAATTTAAAAAATCCACTACGATTTATGAAAAATGTTTATCGTGTTGACGATGATGGTATGGATACGAGTATGACAACAAGTGATCCAATTATTTATTTGAAATCTGACAATAATTATCGAGTTAGAATCAAATTTCAAGGACCAGACAGGATATATTATTATGGTACATTTATTCATTATTCGTTAAAATTTGACTAAATTTGACATTAAACGTCCTACGTGTGTCTTTTTAGAGTATTGTTTGACTTGTACAAAAAAAAATCCCAAAAAACAGAGAACAGTAATTAATAAATATCGTATAAAATATTAATTAAAATTCTAGTTTCTTAATGACGAAAGAAACGGTGTATGTATAGTTTAGCGAATATAATAACAGTCATGTTCTTTATTACAATCGAATATATTATTCATAGTACCAAATAAATTCACTTGCATAAACTAACATTTTATCTTTCAAAAAATATTGATGTCATCGTGGACTGATTATACGGCGAACAGATTAAAAAATAGACTAAGTAAAACGAATTAATGAGATAACTATTTATACTGTTTTGTCAAAAGTTTAAAAATCAAGCATAGATACTGTTATAAAACGTTGTAATTCACGAAAGTGTTATCCACTTAATAAGTTTCAAAGATTTCAGTAAACTTATGCGCCGTTCAAAGGCTTTTAGCGACAGAATACATACAGTACTGGCCAAAATTATAGGTTCACTTTTATTTTGAATTTTTCGCCTCAGCCATAATAGCTAGAACAAATGTGAAAAAAGAATTGAACAACTGAAAGAGTTTGTAATCAGGTGAGGTGCATATGAATTTGGCTGAATTTAACTGACTTTACTTGAATTTAAGTGATTTCAACTGAATTTAAGTGAATTTAGCTGAATTTTGATTGTGGTAATTCGGAAAATAAATGTGACAACATTTGTTTTTCGAAACAGTTTCAAAATTCTAGTGAAAAACATTAGGGGAAATAACCCGTTTTTGCCTATTTTTGAGTAATATTAAAAAATTCATAACTCAGTCAAGATCCATCCAAATTATGCCAGAATACCAAGACGTACTCTGTTTTACCTGTTTAATACTCTGCAGCTCAATAAAAGCTTTAAAAATCAACAGAAAATACTTTGGTTTTTGAAAAGGTTTTCTAGAAATCTTCCGAAATACAAAATGGTTTTTCTTTTTCAAGTAAAAAACCGTATTGAGCAGGTAAAATAGAGTACATCTTGGTATTCTGGCATAACTTGGATGGATCTTGACTGGATTATGAACCTTTTAATATTACTCAAAAATAGGTTATTTCAAGGTTTTCACCAGGTTTTTCGAACTGCTTTGAAAAACCAATATTGCCACGATATTCAGCGCGGTCGATTACCTATGTTTGCATTTATTTTCGGAATTACCATACCTAAAGAAATATTGATCCTAGGGCTCTCAAGAAATCCGATGCCACGCGTGAACTAGGGAAAACTAAGAGTTAGGTTAGTTCCCATTTTCGAGAGGACACTTTGGACTATCTATCTATAAAAGCAAACTGATAGCTTTTTATCTCATTTTCCGGAGGTCCGAAGTGGTTTTCCAAGATATCCTAGATAATCGGTCTTTCTAACGGCTTCGCAAAAGGGTTTCGCTTACGAAAACATAGGCTAAACTGTCTTCTTTCGATTGTTGAAAATTACAAGTCTCTATCTTTTATCGTTTTGGAGTTATTCGTGGTGTCGATAGTAGAAAGGAAAGAGAAATCTAAACTCTGCTATACGAATGTTCTTCACAGTATTGGCTGTTTAATATCCACACCGTTATCATGGTAGATTTCAGAGGTTAACTAGCATCTCTCTCTCTGACTCCCGTTCAATTTAAGTAAAGTTTCCTTGACTTTTTTAGGAATTTACGTGAATTCGGATAAATTTGCGTGAATTTGGATGAATTTACGTGAATTTTAGTGAATTCAGGTGAATTTTGAATTTACTTGAATTTAACGGACTAAATTCAGCTGTTTCTCCCTTGACATTTTGCCTAAAAAAGGGACGAAAGAAAGAAGAAAATAAAAAACAAAAATCCCTGCAAAAACACATAATGTCTGTCGACATAAATATTATCAAAGTTTTCTCTCTGGGAATTCTCAATAATTCTCTCTGGGCAGAAATGAGTTTAAAAACAAAATAATAGAATAAAAAGTCATTGAGAATATCGTCTCTGTTAAGAGGGTAAAAGAAAACATACCATTTTTGCTTTTGTTTCACTTTCATCAGAATAAGAAACAGAGTGAGTTAAGGTGCCTGACTAATGTGCGTCTAAAAGAATAAAATATTCATTCGATTACAGCGAGTAAAAGGTATTTCATGTTTCAATTCCATACAGCACTAAGACATTTTTCTCATACAAAGTCGATATTTTCTAACTGCGTTCATCATGACGCTGTCGTTTGTGTCACTATTAGATTAAATTAGGGAAATTAGGAAAAATACGCAGTTGATTGCAATTAATATTTGTCCATGTCATATGAGTAAGTCAACGTTGTTGATACTGTGCGGGGTGAATGATCACATATCAACTTTTCCTGTTCGTTCGTCACTGGAAGGATCTCTCTCAAACAGATTCAGGAGCCTCTAAATAAGAAGATTAAAAGCGAAAATTTGAGCGCTAATCTTGAAACTAAAGCAGTCATTTGATGCCTCTACTTGTTGCATAAGAAGGCGTGCCTCATTAAGAACTTTGCAAACAACACCGGTCGGGATTTCGACGTAATACGGCATGCTTTTGGTGGGATTGTGCCAGATTTCATCGGATTCCGGCATGCTCCGGCGTCGGATCTTTCAGGAACTTGTCTTTAGAATCATCGGCCTGGGTACTATCTAAACCATAGAGAAGATGCCTTGGCTGAAACGTTTTGTTTTCTGTTCCAGATGTATTTCGTTACACTTTTACTATGTACTAAACTGCAAAAACAAGTGCCAGTTTCACTAATGAATAGAATGTAAACATAATCAGAGTTGGTCTTAAAAAGCTGAACAAGTGTTTCTTCAATTACAGAATATTCTGCTACTTGTCCCGTGTCTTTTCTAGAGGACGTTTCTAAGACTCATCAGTTCCAAACAGCCTAATAAATGGTAAGTCAGGCGATAAAAGGAGCTGATCAACCACGAGCTCAATGGTATTGGAAATCAAATTCTGATCCATGGTCACCAAATGGAAATGAAGAATGGACAAAATATTCTGATATCGAATCAGCGATTATCGAAGAAGTATTTAATCAAAAGAATAAAACGAAACTAGCTGAACTGGATAATTATTCGATTAACTTAAACGATTCCATTCAAATCAGTAAATCGGATCCAAATAAACAACGGCAAATAAAACGGGTTCCAACTAGTAGAAATGAAAGTCAAGGTTTAAGAGAAGAAAGATTCTTTCTCACACCAGAAATGAGTAAAACGTTCACTGATGACTGGGGCAAAGAAGCTTATATTTTTCTTTCACAGTGGAAGAAAGACAAGGAACTTTCTGACGCTGAAATAGTAAAACAGGCAGCGAATGGAATAATTATCGAAGGAAAGAAACTAGGTCAACGATGTGAATCACAATATCTAGCTCGCCAAATAATAGCCGTGAAAAACAAAAAAAAAGAAGAAATTTACAAGTGTTGCATTCAGTTATATACAATGGAATGCTTTCTATATAAACTAATAAATAAAGCACTGAGAGAAACCGACAAGAGCAAAAATACGGCTTTACCTCAACTAGCAAAAATCCTCAAAAAGCCCAAAACTTCGGCAATAGCCTGTTCATTATCGACCCGACCGAAAACGGCGGCTTAGACATATCGCACCTTTCCAACTACGACGAAAACAAGAAGTCATATTACCTCCACGAACAACATTTACAATCATAGCAGTCAAGCAGACCACAACCAAAACCTATGTTTATTTGAAACTACTGAGTAACAACCATACTACATCCGCGCCAAATTTCCTTTCCCTGGTCGCCAATTTCCCCCGTCAGCCGAGCATTGCAGTGACGAAAGTGCAATGTCATCCGGTGCGATGGGACATCTAGGAGATACATGAATAGTCTGCTGCTGTTTGGCATTCTTCACTAGCTGCATCATCATTGAGTCAGTTGTTGGTGACATCGTCGTCGTCAGATGACCATTACTGTGACGAAACTGAAATGTCATCCGTGTGCCATGGAACATCTAGGAGATACATGAATAGTCTGCTGGTTGGCATTCTTCACTAGCTGCATCATCATTGAGTCAGTTGTTGTTGACCTCGTCGTCGTCAGATGACCATTACTGTGACGAAAGTGAAATGTCATCTGGTGTCATGGAACATCCAGGAGATACATGAATAGTCTGCTGGTTGGCATTCTTCACTAGCTGCATCATCATTGAGTCAGTTGTTGATGACATCGTCGTCGTCAGATGAGCATTGCTGTGATGAAAGTGAAATGTCATCTGGTGTCATGGAACATCTAGGAGATAGATGTACAGT